CTGCCACGGGCAGGGACACCTTCCACTGGACCAGGTTGCTCTAAGCCCCTGTGTTCAACCTGGCCTTGAACACTGCCAGGGATGGGGCAGCCACAGCTTCTCTGGGCACCCTGTGCCAGCGCCTCAGAACCCTCACAGGGAAGAATTTCTGTCTAATATCTCAATTTCCTCTCTGAGAGGTTAAAACCATTCCCCCTTGTCCTGTCACTACACGCCCTTGTCAAAAGTCCCTCTCCAGGTTTCTTGTAGCCCCTTTAGGTACTGAAAGTTGCTTTAAGGTCTCCCTGGAGTCTTCTGTTCTCCAGGCTGAACAAGCCCAGCTCTCTCAGCCTGTCTTCACAGCAGAGCTATTCCAACCCTCTGAGCATCTTCATTACCCTTCTCTGGACTCAATCCAACAGCTCCATGTCCCTCTTGTATTTGGGGCCCCAGGGCTGGATGGAGAACTCCAGGTAGGGTCTCACTAGAGTGGAGTAGAGGGGGAGAATCAACTCCCTCGACCTGCTGGCCACGCTCCTTTTGACGCAGCCCAGGACGTGGTTGTCTTTCTGAGCTGCAAATGCCCACAGCTGTGTCATTTTGAGCTTATTAAAGTGGGAATGTGCTGGGGTGAGGAGCAGCTCTATCTTCACTGTTGTGCCACTCCAGAAGGCACCCTGGGTGAAGAGTGAACTGCCATCACCTGCAAAACACAAAGACTTGTTTGGCTTTTTTTATATCATACAACTAGCTGCTGATGTCAGAGAGGCAGAGGCTGCTGAAGATAGGAATCTGAATCACATGAACTCAAAAGTAAGGAAAACTTGTCATCCAAAGTGATACCTAAGCAGAGCAGGCCTTGTGAAAGCACAGGCAGCTGCTCGATGCCTGCCCTCCCCCACCGTGGGGTTTGACAGACCAGCTTGGCAGGCTTGGGCTTTGGTTTGGTTGTGTTTGGGTGCTCCTGGCTTCGGCTAGAGAAACCTGAGGAACCAGAGGCCCAGTAAAGGACGGTAAACAATAGGGAAAAATAGGCTCCAAAAATATGCTTCAAATAATGTTGACTTCACAACTGACTGCTATTACTTCCGTCAGGGAAGTCCTCTGGCATGTAGAGCTCTTGCTGGCTTAAAGGAGGTCTCTTTATCCTTGACCTCAAGCCATTCTTCAAGGTGCTGCTTAGTCACAGGTGGTGCAGTGTGGCTCTGTGGGATGTACAGCCCTCCTGTGACAGCCTGGATGGGCATGCAGGGGCAAACCAGTTCAGCAGCCTCATTACGCCCAGTGGTGCTGGCTGCTGTGTGTAATTTGTGTGTGTGAGTAGCTGGGAAGGAGTAGACATTACGGTGACTATGCAGAAATTCTTCCCAATGAGGCAAACTGACGTAAAACGCTGCTACAAGACATGGTTGTGGAAGTGTTCTGGTAAGATCCAGGCTGTTGAGGAGCTGACTATTTAGCTTGGAAGAAATGTTTCCCCTTTGCATCTTGGAAATGGAAAGTGCTCTGCAGTCTCATCAGTCTGTCCCTCCCAGCCAGTTTGTGAAGCTGCATCTTACTCAACTATGAAGTAATTTCCCAGTAGAACTTTTTGGTCAGGCTCGGGCTTTTTTTCTCATTAAAGCTAGGCTTTTTAATGTCTTCCTCCTTGACTGGCTGCATTTTACAGAATGATCTATATTGTTACGCTTTTCCATAAAGAGCACAGAACCCTGAACTGCTGGCCTTCGGGTTGCTTTCCCTTGTGGTAGCCCTGCTGATTCCTCCCTTCCCCCAGAAATTTTGCAGTTCCCTGACTCAATCTGACTTCGGCAGCATGCTGATCAGAATACATCAGGATTACTTTAGGCCCAGCCTCTTCAGGCTTGTGGTGGGTTAGGGGCTTGTGTTTTCTTTTTCCAGCTCTTGAACCATCAAACGCCTCAGATCCTTCTGCCACTGTAACATGCTGCAAGTTTGTCACCCCCAGGGCCCTTTTGTTTATTCTACAGATTTTCTTACTAGCTGGTAAGTTTAGGATCTGCCCTGCAGATTCAGGGACACGCTTTCCCAAATTAACTCATTTTTCCTGAAAATATATTTAATTTTTCAGGCATCTCCATACCCTTGACCCTGCGGTGATCACAGTTCTCATTTGGCTTTGTGTCATAAGCAAACTTCTCTCATGTTCCCGTAGATATCCAACAATAACAACCTTGTAGCTGACATTACTGGCTCCTCATTTTGTTCCTTAGCATGGTGCTGTTTATTGCAAATACTTACTTAAATCATGTGAAGCAGGGTCAGCAGTGAGGGTATTAGTGAAGCAACTTCCTCAGTTTGCACAGTGGGTGCCATGTTACAGCAGTGCTGTTTTCCTGTGTGGTGGCCAGTCTTGGATTCGAGCATAGATCTGGGGAGAGAGGCTTGCTCTCAGATGATATCTGGGCATCAAGGGGGTGGTTTCAGACACCTCCACCCTTTCTGTGCCCTGATCTTTGGGTTAAGGGTCTTCTCATGCAGAGAGAGGAATTCCTTTGCATGAGGAGGAATGGCCTGATGGTTTGTGAGACAGAAAGAGAAACTCATTTAAATCTTCCTTTTGTGGAGGAGGTGAGAGGATGAATTCTTCCCTTCTGCATAAATCACCCATCTCTGTTCAAAGGGAAAACGGCAGGGCCCACATTAGAACTGACTCTTTTGGGATAATATTCATTGTTTCTGGTGTGCTGTCCTCCTCGCTGAGTGGTAGGTATGTGGGTCAGAACTGTTGCTGAGTTTGTCTCTCCGATTTGTTTGATTTCTTCTTCTAGTGTTCTCAAACAGTGCAAAGATGTGGAGCTCTCCTTCAGTGACGTGACGGGCAAGCCTGAAGCCTTCAGAGGCACCAAGAAAGGGATGCTTTATCTCACCCCTTACAGGGTAAGTCTGGTGCTAGCAGGGCTGCTTCTTTCTCAAAGGATCTTGTAGAATTTAGATCAGAAACCTAACTGGTCATAGAAGAAGTGACTTTTATATAGGAGGAACCACTGAGAGTAGTAGGTAGGAGAAGTGAAGGTGGAAATGGGAAAGTTTGTGGTTGTGTCACAGTCCCAGTTCCCTACAAAGGCACATGCAGTCCTGGATATCATTGTCTAGAGAATGTATTTCATATAATGTGTCAATCAATATTACCTTATTAGAAAACTGTCATAGCTTGTCCTTAAAAAGCAGCTGTTGTGGTTTAGACTCCGGCAGCAACCCAGCACCACGCAGGTGTTTGCTCACGCCCTTCTTTCCCCTCCTCGCTAGGGCAGGATGGGGAGGAGAATCAAAAGAATGTAAACCCCATGGGCTGAGATAAGAACAGTCCAATAACTAAAATAAAATATAGTGATAGTAGAAAGAATACCAACAATAACAATAATAATAGGAAACAACAACAGAAGAAATGCAAGCTCAGAAAACACAAGTGCTGCACAGTACAATTGCTCACCACTTATCGACTAATATCCAGCATGATGCAAGCAGCAATCCACCTTTCTGGGTGACTCCCTTCAGTTTATGTACTGGGCATGATGTGCTGTGGTATGGAATACCCCTTTGGCTAATTTGAGTCAGGTGTCCTGTCTCTGCTCCCTCCTGGCTTCCCGTGCCCCTCCTCACTGGCATAGCATGAGAGACTGTAAAGTCCTTGATCAGGGGAAGCACTACTGAGCAACAACTAAAATGTCATTGTGTTACCAGCATTGTTCTCAGACTGAAGCCAAAGCACAGCACTGCACCAGCTACTAGGAAGAAAATTAACTGTTAGAGCTGGAACCAGGACACAAGCACAATAAAAATCTCTAAGTGTGCACATGTGTTTTAAGTGGTTTATGATTTTGCAGCATACAGGCTTCAGGCGAGTGAGCTGTGTGCCATCAGATCTGTTTGGGTTCCTGCAGTATTAAAGCTGTGAAATAATGCAATGCATACTGATAGCAGGAGTTTGATTATTCTCTTTTCGGATGCCACTACAACTAGAACTCTATGACCACCCTTTATGTCTAATTCATATAATTCAGAGGCATTCCCTCCTGTCTTGCAGATGATCTTTGTTTCGAAGGGGAAGGATCCTATGCTGTCTTTCATGATGCCATTTTATTTGATGAAAGGATGCTCAGTTGAGCAGCCTGTTTTCTCTGCCAATTACATCAAAGGACAGATCCAGGCTGAGGCAGGAGGTATGTGCCTGTGCTTTGTAAACTGAATTCTTCCCAAGTATTGCAAGTACTTTTCTGTTGAGCATCACATACCTGGCTTAATGTGCACAGGAAAGATAGACAGAGTAGGTATGGCAGTACAGCTGAGATGTCCTTGCTGAGGTAACTTGCGTCTTCTGACCTTTAAGGCACTGCTTCCTGCCCCCAAAGCTGGTAACTGACTTTCATGGGATGACTTTTGTTTAATCCTGTAACTTTTGTCTTGCTGTGTATGTTGTGTTTACTCGGTTTCCACATGTGCTTGTTTTCCCCTGTCTTTGACCTAGAAGGGTGGGTAAGTGACCGAGCCAGCAATCATTGGTGTTGATAGACAGGATTAACAACACTTTTGTTTTCTGGAGATAAGTAGTCATTTACCAACTTGGGGATGTTTGCTGCAGCTAGGATGCTGCTGTATATCAGTGATTAAGCTTTGTTCTCAATTTGATAAAACTGTGGTTTGGTCATGACCAAACATGGGGAACTGCAGAAGATAACCAGGGACTGAAACAAATTTCTTTGCTCTTCAGTCCTGGAATCAGTTTATGTGCATTCTGATGGCATCTGGAGAGCTTATACTTTTGCTTTCTGTCTTTAACAGTGTTTTAAAGTGACTTGATCCTCTGTGGAGTGTGGGTCAGTCCGCTTTCTTGGGCTGAAGTCGTACTAAGACAGTGGTTTTAAAGAGGTGACTATAAAGGGGCTGACTTTGTTTTATTTCATTTCTATACTTTATTTCTGCCTTCATTGTTAGGCAAAGAAGATAAATCTTATTCTATGAAATCTTTTATTTAAATGAAATCTTTTTTCTTAAAAACACCAAAAACTCAAAGCACTCCCGAGAAGAAAGACCAAAAAAGCCCCTGCAAAACAAAGCGCTCCTAATTATCTTGCAGTATTATCTCCTACTTGATTTTTTTTTTTCAAAAAAATTGATATTTTACCAAAGTGTTTATAATCTGTCTGAGCTTCCATGTGTCAAATAGATTTCAAGTGTTGCATTTGATTTAAATCTTAGCTTGAGTTGCAGATCCTGATCTGTAGTCCACTGAGGTCAGTGGACTACACCTTCATCTGAGGGCTTTTGATTAAAATCCTCAGTGAATTAAATGTTTTTTCTTTACACTGTGTTCATTATGAGGTTCTATTAAACCTTTCAGGAAAGAACAAGACAGCCCAGTATCTAGGGTAGGCTGCTTCTACATAACTATAGTGGGGATTGTCTTCTAAAGAGTAAAGAAATAAATTCATGATCTTCTTGAGATCCTATTTTGGGGCCATCTAGCAATGCCATCTCTCTTTCCAAAATAATTGGAGTTTTAGCTGGTTTGCTGTCTTTGACTGCTACTGAGGAGATCAGTTGCTTCAATTCTGATTTTCTAATTCTCTCTCCCCTAGGTGGCTGGGAAGGGCAGGGAACATTTAAACTGACTTTCAACAGTGGAGGAGCTATTGAGTTTGGACAGCTGATGTTCAAAGCTGCCTCTAATGGTAAGGGATCTTCAGAGCTGCAGTTCCCCCATGGTTGGCTGAGCTAATTAGAGAATAGTGCTTTTTTTTTTTTTTTCTTGAACTTCATGGGAATAAAGGTACCCTGTGCACACTTCCACATTTTTTTTAATGATTTTTTTTAATCTTTCCAAGGGAATTTTTGTTTTCCCTTCATAGAATCATATCATAGAGTGGTTTGGGTTGGGAGGGACCTTAAAGATCATCTAGTTCCAACCCCCTGCCATGGGCAGGGATGCTTTCCACAAGACAAGGTTTCTCAAAGCCCCATCCAGCCCCCTACTTCCAGGGATGGGGCAGCCACAACTTGCAGTCCTTTTTCTTTATTTCATCTTAGTGCCTTTTGCAGTCAGAATATTCTTGGGTTTGTGCTCCTGAGGTGGACCACCTTTTTCTACAGAACCTTATTCCTCTTGCAATAAAATTGAAATATGTGATGGTGAAAAATTGATTCACTTACCCTCAGCTCAGGTCTATAATACTGGAGTAAGATGGGGGAGAGGGGAAGAATACATCTTAAAAAATAACTTCTGCTTAAAACTTTCAAATGGGGGAAGAATTTCTGATAAGAAAGTTTTGTTTTTAAGGAAATGTACATTTTAAAATGTAGGGGTTTTTTACCCCTGGTAAAAAAGTTTGAAAAAGAAGCAAAAGCATCCTTCTTGCTTTAGAGTGGTCTTTCCTCCAGCACTGGGAGCTCTGTGATGGGACTAGTACCTGATAGCTAGTATTTTTGCAGTGGGCTTCCTTTAGTACCCTGTGAACTTGCAGCGAGGAGACTGATGCTTCTCAAGCACAGCACCATGCCAGGACTGTGTAGTGAATTTAGATGAAGGGAAGCAATGCTGCATGAAGAGAACTGTTTTCCTTTTATTCTATGCACTTTGTTGTAACAAAAGGATGTTTGGCTTACTAAACATGTGCTCCTTAGCTTCCAGTGGTGTTCCTCTCCAGAACCCTGGCTATGGCTATGCACCTTTCCCTGGAGGATATGCACCCACTCCACCGGCTCCTGGGGGCTATGCAGCTCCTCCACCACCAAATGGACCATATCCTTATGCACCACCTCCTATGAATGCCTATGGACCTGCTCCACAGCCCATGGGATATCCATATGCCCAGACTCCAGGTTTGGAAGTTGTGTGATGATGACTGGCAGGGTGTGTTTGGTGTTAGCTGTAAAGAAATCACAGTGGTATGGTGGGGGTTACTGTAGTTTTGTCTCCATCAAGGATCCTCATCCTTGCAAAAGCCTGTCATGTACTGTTGATCACACCTGTGTGTCTCTGTATTTGCAGCTGGATGGGAGGTGAAAATGTTGTTTGTAAATGGTGCTGCTGCTTGGCAGAGAATTGTTGCCTGCTGGCATGTCAAATCCCTGCTGTCTGCACCCCTACCAAACCTCCAGAGCTTCCCTCACCACTGCTCTTGTCCAGAGCCAGTATGCTGCTGAGCCTGTGAGCTCTCTTCCACCCTGTCCCATTGCTGTGGTCCAAAGCATCAATCCAGTTTCGTCTTTTTCAGGTATTTACCCACCACTTCCCAACATGAGCCCTGTGTTTGTGCCACCTCCTCTCCCCCCCTACCCTGGGCCGTCTCCCGCAGGACCCTCAGCTCCTGCAGCCTCGGTGGGGCCAGGGATGCCAGGTAAGTGGGAGTTGGGGAGCTGCCAGGGTCCGGGTGCAGAAGGGTACTTGGGGCTCAAGCTGTGAGTGGCATTGTGGGCACAGCACGGGGTGCAGCAGCTGTTGTTTCAGGAGCTCAGAGTTGTCTTGGTCAATTATTTGAGGTAACGGGGAGAGGGGGGAGCTGTTCAGCTCTGCACTGCACAGCTTGTGGTCAGCTCTTGCCAGCTTGCAGCTTTCCCAAAGCTCCAAATTCTAATGCAGCTTGCTGCAGTTGCTGTTGCCTCTTTGGACCTTTGTTGCCTCCTCGAAAGAGCTGTGGCTGGGGGAGAAGGCTCTGGGGCTTGGGCCACTGCCTAAGGTATGTAAGATGGCTTTTTCCTTTCTAGGGAACAGTAGGGCCATGGAAGCCACTTCCAGTGCATATTACAACTCTGCCAACCCACACAATGTATACATGCCTGTGGTGAGTACCGTGCCTCTGGTCTGCCAGGGCCTCCTTCCTCTTCTTTGCTAGCAGAGGCAGCGGTTTGCTTTCCTAGCAAAGTCCAGTGTGCCTTCATACTGAACATGCACAAAAAAAGTATGCATTTTCCTGTGCGGAAGGTGTGGCTGTTGGTCCCATGTTAAATCCTCATTCAAGAAAGGAGGAGTGCCTTAAGATTTGTGCAGAAATAGCCATTCGGTATTTGTGTTGCTCTTAAAAGCATAACAAATTTGCATGGGCACAGAGAACACACAGAGTGCTCTGCTTCTGATGGGCTTGAAAGTCGGAGGAGTTAAAGAGCAGCAGGTCACTTAAGGAGGAGAGCATGTGGGTTTCTCTCCTTTTCTTCTGGGCTGTATGGAGACAGGGATGTCTCTCACTGTTCAGTCAGTGGCAGGTGGGAGGTAGGCTGTAGTTACCTATGCAGTGTACCCACCTACACAGTGGTACGTGACAGCTGAGCTGCCTGTGCCCTTCACTGCCTCGCGTGGCTCTGTGGTGGGCTGGAGACCGGCGGAGCAGCAGAGCTGGCCCTCGGCCCAGGGATTTGCTCTCTGCTGGGTCAGAGCTATGAACATCAACAAAGCCCTGGAAGTGAAGGGAGGATGGCGATTAACAGGGGAATTAGATATAAGGAAGATAAGACTAGATATAAGGAAGAAGTTTTTCACAGTGAGGGTGGCCAGGCACTGGAATGGGTTGCCCAAGGAAGTTGTGAATGCTCCAACCCTGGTGGTGTTCAAGGCCACGTTGGACAAAGCCTTGGGCAACATGGTTTAGTGCGAGGTGTCCCAGCCCATGGCAGGGGAGTTGGAACTAGATGATATTAAGGTCCTTTCCAACCCAAACCATTTATGATTCTATGATAAAAAAAGATTAAATGCAGTGTTAAACATGGTCTGTTTGCAATAGACCGTTTGTTGTCTGGGTTTGAGGGGACCTTCACTAGAAATGTGGGAGGGAGCATATATCCTGGAGTGTACTGATACTAGAGAGGAATGGTGTGATGAAATGACAGCTTAAAACACAGCTCCTGGCTCGCTCTGTAACTCACTGAAGAGCAATCATTTCTTGTAAGCCAAGCCTGAGAACGCCTGGGAAGAGCTCATCATGAAACAAGCAGGGTTGTTGACTCCGCTGTATCTCCTTCCAGGATCAGCCACCTCCTTATGCACCTCCTGAGGATAAGAAGAACAACTAGCAGAAGGAAATTCCACACTCTCTGTCCCTGAAGACAACTTGGCTGTCCCTACCCCCTGGGTTAGCGTATCTCTAGGTCTCTTTGTGTATATACAATATATGTAGTGATGGGCAGCTGAGCACCTGCCCTCCTTAAACAGTCAGTGGCAATACAAGGTGGAACAACAGCACTTTCCTTCTTACTTGCTTTATCTCATGGGGTCGAAGCACTAACCTTTTGCTCTGCCATTGGCTTGAGGAGAGAGATGGACTTCATCTTAAACCACCAGTATACCACACAACTAATCTAGGACTAAAATATGAAGGCTCTGGGATCTTGGAGTAAAACTACTTGGAATGCCAAACTTTTGACTTCTTCTGAAGCACCATCCAAAAGGAAAGGTATAGAGAGCCATGAGGTTCCTTGCATAGACCCTTGGGTGCCCCAGAAGGGTGATAGGTTTCCTGAAATTCTGGCACAGTTCACCGCGAGATGGGACTCTGGACACTTTTGTGCTGGAAGCGTGTTTCATGTCCTAGACTAACAGTCATGGGGTGGCAAACTTGGGAAGTGGATCCAGAGAGACACCGAAGCATTTGGCTATGCAAGAGGGAAGGGGGTGGGACCCACAGCCTGTCCTTGTGGACACTGAACAGAAAAGCAAACAAAGGTGTGCTACAGGGCAGTGAGCTGACAGGCCGGAGGTATGGATCAGTCTTCCGGAATTCCCCTCTCCTAGAAGCAGGTCCTGTGTCTGTGCAGTGATCCTGTGCCATGTAATGGAGGCAAGTGCTGCACAGGAGGCTTCTTGCCTTGGAGCAAAGTCTGTTACATTAGGAAGATGACCTGGCACTAGCCTTGTCAGATGGGTCCCGCAGCTCCCTGTGCTGAGCAAGCTTGCGCTGTCTGCTGGCTCCACAGGGGGAAATGGGCCTTGTCTTATCCTTCAGCCACCACAGCCAGGAGGTGTGTGCCCGCACCCGAGCGCTGCAGTACCGGAGCTGGGATGCTTGGGGGTGCAGTGCCCTCCCTCGAGTGGGAGCTGCTGCCTGGTGGCGGTGTTACTGATGCTCAGCTCTCATGCAGGGACTGGCTGCTCAGCCACCACCTTTCCTTCCTCCTTAGGACATAGTGCCATTAAACCTGCTCTGAAGAGAGTCCCCCTAGTCTGATGGAGACACTTGTGATCCTTTACATATGAGGTGATCATGCTTCTTTCTACAGCTTTCCTACCTTCACAGTGAAGGGGAAGGAGTGTTTTCCTCCTTAGTTCCCTGTGTGCCAGGGCTCTCCTGTAAGTCAGGCTTGCATGACTTGCAAGTGGAAATTCCTAAAGCAGCCCTGCATGGGGGGAAGTAAATTTCCTTATCTATAAACACCTTTTAGGTCTGAGTTAGAGATACTCTAATAACTCTGTATTTAAAAAAAAGAAAAAAATCAACCATGAATGTTTGTAACTTTCTGAACTGCACTTTAATACAGGAGTGTTGATACCTTTGGCTGCCTGGTCACTGTTCCGTGCATTGTGTTGACCTTCATTCTTGCCTTCTCTCTCCCTGACACATGGCTAAGCTGGATCTGGAACCAATTAACTGGGGGAGAAAGAGGTGGGGCTCATCCTCTTGCTGCGTGGGGAGGGTGGAAGGCTGGTTAATGCCTTTGCTGTTGCCCAGATAGCCAGAACTGGTGTGTGTTCATGCCCTGGGGGCAGGGACAACGCCCTGACACTCCTTACAGCTGTATTCGTAGCACCTCTCCTGTGTGCATTCAGTGCCAGATGGAAGGCCTCTCTTTTAAGAACTCCTTGCTAGCCCTTTTTTTCCAGTGAGGCAAAAATAAGTACATGGTAAAGGACAAAGGCACATAACTGTGGACTGTAAAATCTTGTTTCCCCTTGTGCCAAGGAAAGCTGTTTGGAACACTATTTCCTACTCTGCATCTGTCCAGTCTGACAGGAAACCAGTTGTTTCATACCACAGGTGTTCCTCTTTTGAGGTAATGACCCTACATTAACCAAACAGCTATAGCTAGCAACATAAATAAACATGAAACAAGAGAGCCTGGGACCTGTTTCCCCTTTATTTCAATTAATTTGTCTCAATCACTCCCCAAGAACCAAGCCAGCTCCTGTACACAGACATGAAGTGTGCTCATCTTTTTTCATCAGCATTGCAAGCATCACATTCAGTATCTTGCCACTGCACTTGGAGAACATTTCTGGAAGTGGCCAGAATCAGCCATTTGGTCCTACAGGAACCAGAGTGGGAGGATAACCAGAAGCCCTCCAGCATCTGAACAGAGAGGGGAAAACTTGGTTTTGCTGATCTAAAATGTGGCATTTAACCAGTCTGAGGCTTGATCTTGTGTCAGCCTCCCTAGGCTGCAATCTTAAGCAGCAGTCTTCACGAATGCTGCAGTCATGAAGTCTGGGGCAGTCGGAGTAGGCCATGCCTCAGCTCAAACTCCTCCACAGGATGTAAGCTGTACAAAGGTGAAGCAGTTGAGGGCTTTAGAGTCTGTCCCACTGCTCACTTGCAGTTTATTAGTGTAGGCTTCTTCTCAGAATGGAGCTGTGGATGTTAGCTGCCCTTGGGAGGAGCTGTTCCCTGAGAAACCCTAAGTGTTCAGCCTGCTGCAGAAGGCCCTGAGCCGCCTTTTAGCAGGAATTTCCTGCTAGACCAAGATGCAACTTCAGCTCAGAGGCACCTGTGGCCATCTCCCAACTCAGCTGAGCATCAGCATCTTCCCCACGCCACTTGTGCACAACACCCTGCAGCTCTGCAGTTTCTGGGCTGTACCACAGCAAGGCTGCTGGGGTTGTGCATGGGCAGTAGAGATTTTCATTCTGCTGTACAGTGATACCAGAGGAGCTTTAATACAATGCTAGCATGCATGCTAGGCTGTAGTAGTGCTGGCCTCCAGGCTGCTGGCAGCAGGATCAGGCCTGCAAACAAACTCTGCACAGGACCATCATGTCTCCAGAAGCTCTTGGTCCTGGGGTGGGTACGCAGGAAGGGTGCAGCCCTATTGACAGCCCCTTATTCTAAGCCGAGCTGATTATAGCAAAGAAGGTGACCAGGTCTGATCCTTGAAGCTAATGCCATCCATCACACATGGAGGGAGGGGAGTCACTACCCTAGAAGACACTAAAGCATCCAAAGCCTTTCTACAGGTTTAGTTCAAACAGCCCCCCAACGGTCAGTGGTAGCCAGCTTGAAGAAGAGGAGTGCTCAGGTGTCAGAGCTGATGAACTCCAACAGTGGCTGGACTCTGCTTGTTTGGAATCTTCCCCAACAGGACCTCAGAGGGCTTTGCCATCACTGAGGAATTACGCTCTGCACACCCTTAGGAGGTGGGTAACAAGAATTCCTGCTTCAGGCAGACTGAGCAGACATCATCAAGCTGGTTCCAGAGGAACGGTCACCTCCAGCTCTGCTGGGCACGCCACCGAAAGGCACTTGTGCGGGGAAGAGCCACGTGCCCCAGGCAGGGTCTCACAGCTCACCGCGGCACGGACTCGCACTCCATCCGCTGAGCCCCGTCACAGGAGGACGGGGCGGAAACCCTCGTGGGGGGCTTGCTGTCTGACAACGCGCCAGGGCTGTGCCACGGGGTAGAGATACCACATCACCACCCCAGAGGGGTTAACAGTGACCGAGAAGTTGTCCTCTGTCTTCAAGCCTCTGATGATCTCCCCGCTGTACACATCTTGTACCTGGAAGGCAGAGATGGTGGCTATCAGGATTTCTGTATACCTTTTATCTTTAGGTCCAGCCATGGATGCTGACATGGCACAGCAGGACAGGGCACAGCAGCGAGCAACAGGAGGGCAACCCAGCATGTGGGTGTCCCTTCATGCTGGAGGCAGGGAGTGGGAGTCCTCCCTTCACAAAAAACACACAGGGTGGCAAAGGAGGGAGCTGGCATGAGGGGGATCCAGATGCTATGGGGCGTGCCAGTGGGGCTCACCTCGTACACGGCATCCTCAGGGAAGTGGAGCTTGGCCAGGCTGGTGGTGTAGACGTAGGGTATATCTGCCCTCCGGCTGAAGAAGACAAGGGCACTGGCACCCTGGGACAGTGGGCGCAGGAACACCTCGATGAGGGACTTCTCCTGAGGGTGGGGATGAGCGCATGAGGCAGAGCTGCTGGGATCAGCCCTGGCCACAGACCTTGCCCTGCGGGGCTGCTATGCCAGCAGATCCCCAGCTCCCACAGCTCTCCTGCTTGTGTTCCTCTGCATCACTTCCCTCTCCCTCCTTATTGTGACCCCCTGTGCTGCTCCTGCCCGCTCTCCCAAATGCATCCACCTTCCTCCTAACCTTGACAATCCTGCGCCCTTGGATTCCCAGCGGGTCCTGGTTGATCTGGATCATCAGCTGGTTCTGCAGGATCTCCTTGGCACTCGGGGAGATGGTGCGGAGATCCGTGGACATGAGGAGCGGAGCTGCCATCACTGTCCACAAGGCCATTTGGGAGCGTGACTGCTCGTAGCTGAGGCCAAAGTTTCCAATGACGAGCTGGAGAGGAGAGGCAGAAAAGGTGGGAAAGGCAAAAGAAGAGCGTTAGAAACTTGTCTGCTCATCACCCTCAGTGATGCTGCAGCCTGCTGGGAGCAAGCATGCACCAGAAACTTCACACATGCTCTTGTTTCCCCTCCAGAAGCCTACCACTGCCAGGAGAGCTCATCCCCGTTAGGTGCTGAGCCTTCAGCACACATTCAAATGCACTCACTAACACTCTTCGTTTTACCACTAGCCCCAAGGACAACATGAGCTTTCCCTCTTTGCAGCAACAGGGCTCCTGCCCCTGGCACTCCTCTTTTGCCCTGCCCCTAGAAGGGGATCCCTGGACGTCCCCCATCCCCAGCACCCATCACTGAGCCGCACCATGTCCGGGTCATTCCAGTGGCCAGGGCCAGCTGCTGGCTGCAGCACATCCTGGTTCGTGAAGAACCAGTCCAGGATGGAAAGTACACTGTCCCAGGAGTCCTGGATGTCATCGTAGTTACGCCACAGGTTGCAGACCTCTGCCAGGACGGTGTAGTTCACCTGGAGAGGAGCACAGGGTCAGGCAGGAGGGAGAAAGGACCCCGTCTACAAGGTGGGAGACAAGGGGCAGCCACACTTGTTGAGAGCTGCAGCATCCACAAAGGGTGTGAAAGGCAGAGGGATCTGGAGAAGGGCAACATCATGTAGTGAAGGAGGTCAGAGTCATATCCCAATATGACTGGGAACATCCCACTGTAATAAGATGTCTGGCAAAACAACCACAAAGGCCATGGGGAAATATGACCAGCTGCAAGAATGAGGGCAGCTCAGGATTCACTCAGAAGGTGTAAAAGGAAATAAGCAAACACAGTCAATTCTCAAGAAACATCACTAGGAGAAACATCCTCTTCCAAGCATTTAAACCAGACAGGACCCATCTCAGAAGACGACTGTCAGGATCAACCTGCCGAGTGGGGAGGAGAGGGCATGCCCCAGGGCCTTCTTTCCCCAAACTCCCATCACCCAGCATGCAGGGAATCCCAAGTGTCCCAGATGCCTGGCAGGGAGGCCATGTCCTCTCTGGGGACCTGCTGGGATCCTATCAGTGACAGTGATAAGCGGGCACCTGCATCTGGCTCCTGCAGCTCCAACAAGAGCTTCCCAAGAGGACAGGGGACATGAGAAGGAGCCACTGGACGGGACAACCCTCACCTTGGGGGGGGAGCCCCCCCTGATACGCTGGCCAGCTGCAGGAGTAGACGATGGGGTGGCCTGTGGCGTTCAAGGCCCTCGCCATTTCTGGGTAGCCTTAGGGAGAGAAAATGACAACCGGTGAAGGGGAGAGCTGGCAGCAGCTTGTGTCCCAGCCCGCCTGGCCTCCTGCCTCACACCAGCTCCAGGGCACCACAGCTCCCTCCTCTTTGCCCAAGAGCTGCAACAGGAGATGTGAGGAAAGAACCGGCTGTTCAAGCGTTGCTGCGGACAGCCAGCTGCCCCGACCAGAGCAGCGAGGGGAGAAGTGCCAGCTGGCCGGGATCTTTTACCCTCCGCCTGCTCCTCTCCTGATGAGTAGCACCCATCCAGCTTCAGCATGTCCACACCCCACTCTGCAAAGGTCTGGGCGTCCTGCTCCACGCGGTCCAGAGTGGTGCCTGGGTAGCCCCCGCAGGTGAGGGTGCCCAGGTCGCCGTAAATGCCCAGCTTTAGGCCCCGGGCATGGACCTGCGGGGAGAGGAGAGCTGCAAGGAGGGCATGAGGGGAATCCCATGTGCCTCCCAGAGTCCTCCATCCACTCCCAGCTCCC